ATAGAGGTAAACCACTAATATAGAACAAACGTACTTCAGTCGCATTATGGCACAGAGAGTTAGTGGACCCGAGGGGAATGGTTGGTGGAACCTTTCTGCACAAAATCCCTCTTTTCAATACTACCGATGTGACGCGTTTTGAAAATGTCAAATGTGTGGTTACTCAAGTACGGTTTGATGCTAAGTTTTTTGTCTTATTTAGCAGGAGTTGGAAGTTTTTTCTATTTTTCAAGTTCCCTTCTCTGGGGGAGTGTGAAATTCCCCCCCCTTGCGTCTCCTGCGCGTTTCAGAAGAGACTGAAAAAAGACTGGAGCGAACTTTGTGATAATCTGTTCGCTTCAAAGAAATTGAAAATAGATTAAGTTAAGGCTTTTTGCCTCTTAGCTTATATCTATAAGCCTAAAATTTTAATTAGATATAACAGGATATGTTCAGCAAGGGGGAAATTAAGCATTAATGTGTTGCACTTCTTCCAAAAAAATCTTTGAAACTATTTCATAGTTTAAATTACTGATATGTTGATTTAAATTAACATCTACTCTTTGAAGGAATGAAACGATGAGAAATTCTGATCACATGTTCACATTCCACCAAGTGCGGTGCCAGAGGCGATCCAATCAAAACACGCACTCCAAATATGGAAATATGATGCCGTCTTCGCCATCTTCCATTGCCAAGAGAATATTCTCTTGCCACTGCCCATTCTCTCTCCAGTGTGTTGAAACTTCTGTCCCGAACGAATACTTGCACAATTTCACTAAGCAAACGTTTTTAAAACTGATTTCATGCCGGCTGCCCAAAAAGTTGAACACGATTATTTCGAAAGTCTGCAACAATTATGTTCCCCTCTGGCGTCAAAGCGAGGCCATGTGGGTCATTCAGTTGACCGTCACCATCACCCTTAGTACCAAATTTCGTGACAAAACGTCCCTCGCTGGAAAATACTTGAATCCGATGATTATCTCGGTCGGCGACAATAATGTTTCCGTCATGACCCACGGCTACGCCAGTGGGGCGCATTAACTCCCCGTCCTGACTCCCCTTACGGCCGAAATTGAACATGAATCGACCACGTGGATCAAATACCTGAATGGAAAAGGTAAATAATTTAAACAGTTTCTTTAAACTTTTTTATTTAAACTAGTTACACAGGGCGTTACGTTTAGGTCTCTTAAAACAAAAACGATCACGACGGCCAATCAGAACAAAGGAAAGAGTCACAAGGAGCCAATGAGAATTCAAAGTCGCATCACGTGAACCACCTAAAACGCGGGACAACGAGAGTGATCAAGTCGTGATCGGTTGTGATTGGTTGAGAGGGTGGTGCAAGTTTTCTAGACCAATCACAAAGCGAAGAAGGGAAAACCAATGCAATCCCAAATAACTTTCGACACTCGGAAATTGCTCTATCAAGCGTCATTCATTCATCAATTTTGAAACTGGCACTTACCGCTCAACACTAGCTACAATTCTAATTATTGTGTTTTCATCCTTGTCAACTTTTTGAGGAATTTTGATAGGATATACCAAGAGTAATTTTCCTCAAAACGACAGCCCCGTCCTAAGAACGAGGTTAAAAGTAAAGTTACTCTCGTGTAAGAAAGCCATTCCTGTCCCATGGCTTTAGTTTGGTAGTGCTACTCTTTACAGAATAGGGGATATGATTATAAACATCTCAAATATTTTACCAGTTTCTTAATCTAATTGGGTCCCCATGGTAACGAATGACTGACAGCATGACGTACCTGAATACGGTGACTGTGCATGTCCGACACAATGATGTGTCCTTGAGAATTCACCGCAACGTAGCATGGGTAATTCAGCTCGCCATTGCCGTCTCCAAAAGAACCAAACTTGAAAGACTGACCTGAAGGCATGAAATACACTTTTCTTTGACAAATTTGTGAACGCGAACACAAGTAAGAATGTAAAAAGGATAAAGTAATGAGGTACGGATAATGAAGACAGGTGGGACAGAAGTTTTTAAGACGAACGGAAGGAACGGGAATCACGTGCTCCTCCTTCCGCATTTAACACACCCTTCGTGCTAACCTCGCACGCCTCGCACGCTTCGCGCTTACCACGAACGCCTCGCACCTGGTGCGTAGGATGCTACTGTATCACAGGGAACCAAGATTTTTCTATATGTTTTTCACTGGAGAAATAGGAAATAAGTCAATTCAACCATTGCTAACCTGTATCCAGTGAAATGACATGAATACAACGATTTGCTGAGTCAGCAACAATAATTCTTCTGTTAGCATCTACTGCTAATGTGGAGGCCTTTAGGTCTGGAACGGAGAATTTGTGAAGGAACATTCCATCTCGATCAAATATCTACGAAGGTAAAAAAAAAGTAGGAACTGAGAAGGAAACTTCTCAGAGTGCGCCTCAATAGGTTTCTTAGACCCTAACTAGAGTTAGCCAATCAGAGCAAAGAAAAATAATACAAGAAGCCAATCAACACTCAAATTAAAATCACGTGACACGGCTTGCTAAAGGGCGGGAAAAGGTGAGTAACCTAGTTGTGAATTATAGCAGTTTTGCCTCTGATTGAAGAAAAACCGCAAATGAAGCTGCCAGATTCAAATCAAAGTTTTGTTAGCTCATACCACACATGTTTACATTTCAATCATTTCTTGCCTGTATTCTGCTGCCCAGTCTTTCGCAGACGACAATTCTCCCATCAGGATCCACCCCTACCCCGGTGGGGCATTGGAACTGTCCGCTGCCCTCTCCTTTGCGACCAAACTGGAACATGAATCCGCCATTTTGATTGAAAACTTGTACTCTGTGGTTGTGACAATCTGTAATAATGATGTGCCCTTCATCGTCCACAGCAACGCCAAATATTCCGTTAAATTCTCCAATTTCCGTTCCCTTTTTGCCAAACTTGAGGTAAGATTCTCCAGTATTGACAACATTGACTTTAAAAGGACTACCTTGGATGTGCTTGTCTCGGACAGTCACAGACACCTTTAACGGAGAGAAATTCTTAACATCAAAATCCTTCTAAAATTTAATTTGTACAAGAAACTGGTATTTTTTTCCTACATAAAGTTTAATTTAATCTACGCGTCTGCAGAACAAGTGATTCCGGCTCAGAGGAGCCTCGGTGCTAAATATTTCACGACTGAGCCAGTTTCAGTTGATTGTTCAACAAATTCTCCTTGTCAGCACCGTAGCAAATATATACAGAACAATATGGAGAATGTGTATATTGAAGTTAGGCTGGAAAAAAGTTAATGTCAAGCGTGGAGCTATCAGGTGGGAAGAAAGAAAACAGTCAGTCAAGTATGTTAACAGTAAACATATTATGTTTTTCATAAATCTACCTTGTGCATTCCAACATTAAAGGGGCTGTAACTGACTCCGTAAGAACCATTTCTGTGGTCCTCAACCTGGAAAAAAATTGGGCAACACACCATCAAAAACAATCATATAGGAAGCGGGAGTCTTATCCACGTTTTCGTTGAGCACCTGCTATTCAACTAAAATCTGCCCACTCCACACAAATAAGTATTTTAAGCCCTGTCACGTGACTCTTCGCTGCTATACTGCAACGGGGGTAGGGTCTTGCGTGACATTCCAAATGGCAGTCCGCAAAAAGACCAACAACAAAACAACATCTACTAGAATAGAACCTAATTGTGACCACAGTGATTGCTAAAGTAAAACAAAGAAAGGTGCAGAAAGCAAAATCGTAGTGCGATGAAAAGGTAAGATTGAACATAACACATTTACGCCTCGGCGCGGCTGTTGTTTGGGTTGTCACGCAATGTTTCTCCCCAAACGTTGCGTAAAAACCGAAATAACGACCACGGAGGAGTCACGTTAAGAAAAAAAAAGCACAGTTAGTAATTATTCTGCGCATGAATTATTATAGTGCATGCCACACGTGAATCTCAAATGGAATGCTAACATTTTGTGAGTTGTAGCGAGAGAGCGCATGTGAAGAGCCCGGGGAGGAGCCAAGCGGTCTTACTTCGGCAGGCACAGTTCTTCCATCTGACGTGTACACATCAACCATAACATCCTCACCGCCGCCAGTGCACTGGGCCCCACTGTGATCACTAAACACATCACAACAAGGTTAAATGCATCATTCGCATCAGAGCGCTTTACATTTGAATTCCGTGAAATAAATACTGAAGTAATTACAAAGGCCAATTAGGATAAAGGATGACATTACAAGGAGCTAACAAGAATTCCGATTGACGACCTGTAAACTGTTTCAGGCACGAGGACGTGAAGCACGGGAAAATGCGAGCAACCAAGTCGTGATTGGTTTTTGCTTTGCATCTGATTGGTTGAGAGGGTGGTGCAAGTTTTTTTTTTGTTTCTTTTTTTTAACCAATCATAGAGTATACTAATCTAAAAATCATTGAAATTCCGAATTACTTACAACAGTCAATTGAAATTGTTCTTGAAAGGAGCTTCGATGAGGAGCAAGTCAAAAAGCTTATTGTCGTTATCTCGTAAAATAACTATGAGGCCTGACCAGTACCGAGTCTATTACCAAAATTTACCTCTTGGATTTGATTTCATCAATGAACTTTGCTTACCGCGTAAGAACTGTAAATTTGGATTTCCTTCCCTTTGTTGCATTCTTCATGTCGTCAGCTACTGTACAATTAGTGGGGAAGGCATTACTCGTTTTAATCTGCCCAAGGTTCTCGAGAGCCTTCAGGACTTCATCTTGATTGGCTACAAAGTAGATGACGTCATTTTCTTCGGGCTCTCCTTGAAACTTAGTGGAGATGAGGTCATTTAATCTGTCACAAAGCTGTTTCTTTATGACAAGGATTTCCACAGAGTTTCCATGCCTCAAGACTTCCTCTGCAAGACATAATAGAAGGAAAAAGTTTCCAAAATGTCTTTCCCATTACAAATTTAATTAAAAACCAAGTCGAGTTTCATGACCGAAACTCCTGCGCGCAAAGCATACTAGTGGAGCTCCATACCTAAGAAAATACGATAACCATCAAGCCAAGGAAAACTAGTCGTCCCGTAGTGGAAGTTATTTTTTGTGTCAGGCGAAAGTGTATCTTTCGAAGGCGGAAAGTTTCGTGGTCAAACCTACTTAAAAAACCCGTGGGTAGTCAGATTTAAATGTGGAGCAGTAAAAACTAACCAACTAGGGCTACCTATCAAAGTACGAAGTTTTATGATTGCGATAGTCAGAAATTTTAAAGTATTCGATCTTGCCCAATTTAATTGCAATGCACGTTTTAGTACACCAGCGAGATGCCCTATATCACTTTTAAGAGCTCCAATTACTTGACCACAGTTCTCCTTCAGCCATGAGTACGCGTTGCGGACCTGGGAAATAGATAATTACCAGTAAAGTTGCAGGTCGTCGTAAGACGTTTTAATTCATTTTCCAATCTTTCTTGTTGTATTCCTAGGACTTTTGATTTTCTTTGTACCATTGTCTCTACTTCAGCCATCATTCCTTTTTCGCGATCTTGTAACGCTTTTAAAATTCGAGGAAAGCATTTCTGAATTTCAGACTTCGCCACTTCCGCCCTGGCCTCGAGCCGGCATGTGACTTCCTCTACGTCTTTAGTAGATTGCGTGACAATTGGGACCTTCCTTTTGAGTTTTTCTACCAATTGAGAGATGTTTTGAGTCTGCTTGTCAATGGTGTCAGTCAACTGGGTGTATTTGTGACGCTCAGTCGAGTGAGAAGTCATGGTGCACTCACGACAGATAGCTTGTTCGCAGCTCTCGCAGTAGTACCTGTAAAAACAGTAAGAGCGGTGAACTTCATTTGCGGTGAGCTCTCTTGCAGTGCAGTTATAGTTACCGGGAAAACTTAACGTTGTCTAGGTCACCGCGGTGACAAGGAGCTTTTTCAGTCACTGTTGACTATAAAATATTACACGGCTTTAACTTGAGCACTTTACTCAGGCGAGATTTCGGCTCCTTGGACCTTCGCAGTTAAATTCTCGTCCCGTGTTACCTTCCATCGTTAGGTTCCCATACAGGTTTTCCTCCGTTCTTCCTCAGTTCCTGCTACTTTTTCCCGCACTTGACACCGGTCAAATGTTAATTTGAGTGATGATATCTCTGCACAGTTTTACCCTTCCAAATAAATTACGTTCTTTGCTCCAATTCCTAGAGAGCGTTCAACTTCTATCTTGACGCCATAATCATTTATATTGTGCTGCGTTTTAGTATTGAATTTCTCCTCTGTTATTGCTGCAGAATAGTTTTTGACTGCAACGTACCTTAGCTTCTCGTGGGCATGTTCCATGCAGAAAATTGGACGATGAAGTAAATCTTCGGGATGTGGACTGGATTTCAGTTCGTCTAAAGACACAACCTAAAATGGCCACAATAACATTTAAAATACGATTTTACTTTCTGCTCGCATATTCTGTGGGTGAAACAATAAATTCGTGTATTGTATGGAACCTTTTTGAGGGCAAAGAAACTCGCATAGACTTTTCACTCTTAATTAATTTTCTTTTTTTATAGATAGATCAAACTTAAATTTGATGTCGAAAGTACTGCAGGATTGCATTGGGTTTGCTATGCTACGCTTTCTGATTGAGAGCCTTGAAACTCGGGCCATCTCAACTGACTAATTTTATACAAAATTAAAACTATTCTCAATTTTTTTAAAAACGTTAGCGTTTACCCTGTGAGTCTTGGTTAGCCTCAGTCTCATGTGAGCATTTCTACAGTCATGGCAGAGAAAATCCATGCATTCGATGCACCGCGCAGCCGCAGGAAGTTTGTCTTCGCAGCTGCTGCACATGATTGGATTCTTGTCGTGGGCGCGCACTGCCGCCACATCCATCATGGTGGTTACCACGAAATTTGGCGGGAAAGCGCCGACACCACGCTCCTGAAAAAAAAGCCAAAAACAAAACAAAACAACAAGAACAAAATTAGAGAAAAAAGAGCAAATTGAAACTAAACCATGACTTTGAGATATCAACGAATTTATTTGCTGGGGCAAGCAATGCAGCGTTAAGGAAAAGTCACTTGCAGAAAACAAAAGCGCTCAAGAACCATTCCGTAGTTTTGATTTGATTTGAGATTCACGATTTTTTTAGGTCGCAAGGCCAAACAACACATTTTATTTCGCCACGCAGAGAAACACACATGTAATTCTGCTAAGTGAAGAGCTTTCGCGGGCCCTGCCGTTGATCATTTCAGGAGAAACTGGACCAGTAAATGATTTATTGAAACAAGCTTTCGTTAATTAATTGGAACGATATTTTAAGGCGAGCAAACCTCTAGTCGGCACGTAATTCTCAACGAGGTTTTGTGTCGGCTCAACGTTGAATCAATTTGTAAGCGAAACCGAATTTCCTATGATGACATATCTTAACAAAGGTTTTAAAAGTTTTTCCAAAAGCGGCTGACGATGTTGTTAAAGTCGGCTGTGCCATAAAGGGAAAACCAAACACGAGAGCCCAGCCGCTCGTAGGCTAAACTAGCAGATGATAGTAAGAGGTCTTATGGCTGACAGTGCACCGCCAACAGCCGGCTTTTGTTGTCTTAAAGAATTTGCACGGTGTGTTTCAGAAATGTTTCAATTGCTAAACAAGATTCCAAAGCTGATTTCTTGTATCTAATGAATTTATTCCTACACGCAAGTTGACTCTGTATTTGACTCAGGTACTATTACACAGTTTGGCAAAATTATAACCTATGGTTTTAAAGTTTCTTTGGCAATATTTGGAATTTCGACTGTCTTTTGATCTTTACTATGAATACAAATAATATGCATGTTTCAGTTAGCGGGGGCGATTATACACTTAAGGCAGCGAAGCTCACAAATAATGAACTCCATGTTAAAGCAATTGAAGAAAGCTGGTCCCCAATACTTCTGTTTGTCGTTTAGGATGAACAAAAAAAGCCTTTTATGCGCTGCATTATATTCAGTTTGTTAAATCCGCCATCGATCTTTAGCCAACTTTGGTCAGTCAGAATGCGAAATTAAGTTATCGACGAGTTCACGAATTTCATTGAATATTTAGTCAGTCTATCATCATACCATGCATCAATCTCGGAAACAAACTCAGCCTGACACGCCTTTGAAAAAATGTCCTTCAAAATCGAATGTAATGCTTAATTCAAGTTTTAGGGTTTCTTTTTATTTAGACAAATATCATTGTTAACCTTTCATTATTGTGAAATAGAAACTTTCTTTCCTTCCAGACACGTGCTAAAAATCCTGATGCAACAGTAAACAGGTCTTTTAAGGTAGAATTTTGAGATAGGATAAATTATTTCTATTGTTAGGATGGAACCTATATCAGGCTGGGCAAAAAATAAGCTTCTTTGTGAAATGGAAAGGGATTTTTATGGAGGCAAGCGGCAATGTGGTAATTGAGGGCACAGATGGTATTGACGAAGATGGCGTTTAAAATCCATCGATGGTTTATCTGGTCATCTTTGCGTAAACGATATTTCAATAATGGTTTCGGTAAAGTTAAAAAAATCATTTAAAGACTATTGGAATAAACTCTAGTTTCTCAAAGTTTCTAAAGCTAAAGGAGACGAGATTAGAATGAAAACTGAACAAAATGAAACGCTTCAACGTACCGTGAGAGGGACATCTGTTCGACAGGCCGGGCAGCTGAGAGAACTTGACCTCGGGACCACAAGGTTCTCCAGACATCTTTTACAAAACGTGTGCAGACATGGCAACAATCGAGGGTTCACGAACATTTCATGACACAAAGGGCAGAACAGATTAACAGAACTACCCGTCGAAAACACTGGATTATCCATCATTGGATTGATATCCAAATCGTCTCGCACGGACGCCATCTTGTGCTCCTGAAAATATAAACAACCGTATCAATTTGTTGCAATTTTAGCACACGCCAGGAGGCCGGTATTCAACAGTGTTGATGTCAACAGCGACTAAAAACTCGCTTTCCGCCTCAGGGGATAAATTAAGGGAGGTTCAAAGTCGAATTAAGTCGTGTAAAGTTTCATTTCAATAAAGTTTTAATCATCTTTGAGAGAAGTAATGGCTGATGAATTGTTCAAATACGACTTTTCCAAGTAAACCATTTTAAGATACTAAATGGCAGATACACTGAATGCAGTCAGAATTAAAATTTCTCTTACCGAATCGTTCTCCAATTTTTCCTTAACATCAGGTTCTGTGTCAGTCGACATACTGAGCATCGGTTTTATCCTCTACTTACAAATCTGAAATACCATTCCACTGTACAAAAATCATGATCTTCACCGATAACCCGTGCAATTTCTGAGACAAACGCGGCGAAAATGATGCGATGAAATGACTTTGTCATTTGATGTTGAAATCACATTGCGAGGAGAGACGAACTCATTGTCTCGTTTCGCCTGTTTTGACCTGATGTTTGAATGAAACTCGACCAACAGAATATATTATTTCACATCAGACGCCATAAAATTCTGGGCGTCAAACTATTCTAGGACAACGCCATCACTTTTCAATATTTAATGTTGTGGATAGAACGGACCAATCTGAAAGCTTGATTTATTCAAGTTATCTATACGGAACTGATTATCAGTAGTATTTGCATTGAACTCAAACATTGCCCGCGGTGGTGAGTCTTTTATGTTAGCATTGATATCCTTCTCAAGTCTATAATGATTACAATGTTTTAATCAACAAAGACAATTACTGTCTACTGCTACGCTTCATTTTCCGTTTGATTCACAGAAAATCATTCGAATAGAACACACAGCCATCATTTTCATCGTGAATAAAATTCAATGCATTATCCGTATTGTGTACAAAAGCAAATTGATTGCGTTTACTATCATTTTTGTCTGTTGAAAAGCAGAAAATTATCTTTTGCTTGATTATAAGCAGGTGATTATGAGAGACGTTCTGTAATAGTACAAGTAACCTAAACATCACTCCTAATGACTCTGTACTGTTCAAAGGTAAAATGAAAGACAGATTTTAACATTTGATCGCGGGGATCTCTGAAAAATCATCTTTCTCTCAGAATTTGGAAAAAATAAAACCGTTTCTTCTCTTCTACATGCAAAGAGAAACCGAAACTCGAATTATGATTTCCTTAACAAGTTAATACCCGACCCATGTCGCAAAAGAGCGAATGAGCGGCAAACTGGACGGTTCTAGTTTTCAAAAGAACAGCTACGGTGGCCTGAGCCCTAACGTTTTGGCCCCCACTTTTTCGCTCGTTTCCATGCCACTAGCCGAGCGCCTGGTGTGATACCCGTTATTAAATAACGAACACATTGACCACAACACTTTTCATGATGAGCTGCATCATACACGAATTCTGATCGGTTCTTATTTACGATCTATTAGGGGACAGACGTGTAGGTGACGTCACCATCACCATCTATTTGCTTCTGTACCATATACAATAAATAAAATTCTATGTTGCTGAGGGCCTGTATTATAATAGATCCCAGAACACGTCAAACTTGATGTGGTAAGAACATCAGAGACATACTCGACTATGCCTTGTGCGATACTCTTTGTTCTTACCTAATTTTGACATCATTTGTGATCTGTTGCTGAACAGACACACAGCAACACGTAATCTATTTCTTAGAGAAATCGTAGACACTCAATCGTATGATCATCCTAAATGCTGCATCGCCAACCTATCTTATAAGCTAAGGAATCGAAAGCTTATTGATTCGGCCTCCTTGGTTTCAAAGGGATTCTACATAGCTTACTTCAACACTCAGTAAACTTCAGTACAGTATTTTCAGTTCTGTATTCCGTTCCTATCCCGTACATATCCCGTATATATCCCGTTCATATCCTGTTCATATCCCGTACACATCCCGTACATCCTGTGTCCCGATAACCCTATGTGTGACTCGACGGTCCTGTACTCCGGAGTTTGCAAAAAACAGACTTTTCAACCACTCACTGCGCGTGCTGTATCTTGTGTTCCGGAGAACAACGTTGAAAGAACGATTCGCCGATGTTTTGCTCAAAATCTCGTAAAAATTTTTCGAGTATTGCAAGACACTGTGTAAGCACTATTTTTAGTTTAAAACATTGGAAAATGCACAGCGAAAAAGCATTTTGTGCAGCACAATTCTTGCTACTCGTTCAACGATTGGTGATATTTTAAAGCTTGCAAAAAAGATAATTTACAATTTACTGCGTGTAACAATTACATTGAATCGCCATTGGTAAAAATTAACTCTTGTCATCACAAAACATACAAAGCATGATTGCGGCGCGCGTAAAGGGGCAAGTCATTTGAAACCATAATTATGGAGTACAAAAAGTGGTCAAGACCTTATTTTTCTTCACAATGCACTGTACAAAGCTATGATAAGAAATACAGTCACCTGAGTTCGTTTATATGGTAAAGTGATTATTCCTTGTTCGTTCGATGGCCACGAGATATATTTGAGCCAACTCGAAAAAAAGCGTCCGCTCACCCAGATATTGAGACTGAACAACTATAACTTACAGTAAATAAAAATCTTTCGGGAATCCGGTAAAAATGATCAATATTGACAACTACACTTAAATACATGCCCAAAATAGACGCATATCATTTATCACGTTAAAACGAAATTGCACGCAGCTGGGTGTAAATAAATATAATCGAAATTTTCTCAACTCAGAGCATTTCAAACGACTGAATAAAACGACAGAACGAAGATCATTTTTCCTAAGACATCCCTGACCCAAAAAAAAAAATAAATAAACGCCGTTGCATCATGACAGAAAAGTTTGTTTTTTTCATAAATCTAACCTTGTAGTATTACACAGCGCTATAAAATTCATTAGTTTTCTGGCTTCCGAATCTTTGAGGAACAAATTGTGTGTTAATTAAGCAAGACACATTTCTATCTTTTGTTTGATTAAATCAGAAATAAGATGCTTATCATTTCGTTTCTTTCTTTTTGTTATGATTCCATAAAGCTTAAACCTTCCTCTTCTTTTATAATCGAGCCGATCGCTCCAGATAAATTGTTGTAAATAAATATTTCGAAAATCATTTGTTTGACCAACTAATGAATTACACTGACGCTGCAAAACTTGGGTTAGAGTACTCTGACACATTGAGCAAACAAATGCAGAATTCCCTAGTTACCCTCGCGAGTACATAAATATTAGACCATTTCTAACTGCGTTCAGAATCACTGTAACGCGTCATTCAGAAAACGTTTACAAACCTCGTATCGCACGGACCGAGTTTGTCTCTGATAGGAACACATTCCTTCGCTCGTCCGCCAGCAGACAAGTTCTTCTTCGAAAAAAGTCATGGTCGTGAAGGCTTGCGAGAGCGAATTGAATTTGAATTCATGGATTTGCTCTGGAGGGAGCATCTCAGAGAACAAACCCCCGATGAAACACGACTGAGCCGCTCGGCTCCTGCTCGGTGTAATCTCGGTGGAAGATAACCGACTTCTTAGCTAACTCTTCCCCTGTTCTCTCATTTAACTGTGGTTCGATTGATTTCGATTACAGAATTATGAAGTAAACCAAAAATCACGATCAATCAATATTACGAAACAATTTATTAAAAGAGAAAAGCTGAAAAAAATCTCTAAGCTCATTCGGCTGAACATAAATATTGATCTGAATATATTTAGCAAATGCGGTACAGTTATCAAACTTTCTTATCAGATAAGCCATTGAAGCAGTTTTTTCTAAAAAACCAAGAGTTCTCGGTTTAAATTTTCCATTACGCTACAATGTAATTTTTTTACCTAGAGTTTGTCGGGAAAGAAATGCCATTTCTTCATTTGTTGTTGAGAACTGATGGATTTAAGGAAAATAACCAATCGAATTTCCTTATTTTAGTACATGGAATTTGATGGATTGCATTTTTTTCATTCACTTAGTACACTTAGCGTTTGAGCACAAAATTACAATGTAACGTTTCACATTTAACAAAAGTGCTATTTAATGTAACATTTCGATGTTCGGCCAGCAACAGTTTCTTTTTTCGAAAAAAAAAAAAAAAATTTCGCCAAAAGTTTACAACAACACCACTATGGAAACTCCGGGGAATCATCGGACTCAGATTTAAGTGCGCAGTCGCACGAATAGCGAAAGTCACGTGATAAAGAGTGTGTATTGACTATTCTAGTATCATGGATCCACCAACGATTTGGAATAGGAAACATTTTCGTTTTTTTTTTTTTTTTCTGTTCTTTGAATTCTGTAAATATGCTTAAAGATATGGCTCCCTTTGAAAGAAAAGTGGTTTTTCAAGAACGGAATACGTCATCTAATAACCACTGAATACGTGTGTTACCCCACATCGAACACGATGATAGGAAAACTAGAGAAACCGAAATAAAATCCACGAAGAAATCCTCAATCGTGTTTTTGCAGCTAGATGATAACAGTGTTGGCAAAAGTCATCTTTTGTGAACTGTTTCTTCCAAAAGCTTGAACCCAAACCTCGAGCGACTCATCTATCCTTTCAACTTTGATAAATCAAAAACTGTTTACGAAGTTACTCAAATATGGCTGCCGGCGAATAAATCAGCGCTAAAAAAAGGATGTATACGGCTAGGAATTCAGCAGAGAAACGCTGTCTTCCTGTTTTTATGAAAGGCACGTAATTTAACCTACACTAAAGTAAATAACTCAGTCAATCATATGCGTTAACGTCGTAAAATCTAATTTAGAACAGGAAACAAATTGTCAACTTACAAATTCCGCCAGCTTTCGAGTTGTTGTGATTCGCCACATTGTCGCGTCTTCTTTGACCTCGTCAGTCTTCAATGGAAGCGGCTTAGCTGACGGGGAACCCTGCAAAGACGAAGCAACGAAATCACTTTTATCCTTGAACTTGGAAAACTACTGTGCACGATAAAATGAACATATATATATTTCATTATCGCGAACTGATCTCAAGGACGTGGTTATGGGTCAACTCTGCAAGATCCTCAGGCTGCGGTCGAATTAAAACTGTAGAGAATAAAATTAATTTCATTTCTCTGCGCTTCTTGGTAAATAATTCATGGAAAAAAGTTCTTTGTAAATATGACTTAAGCCAAATAGTGCATTGTTTCAATATCTTTCTTGTTCTCGAGTTGGGCAAATCTTATTCTAAACCTGTTACTCAAATTGTATAAAATTCTCTATAGCAACTGTTCCTACATTTCATAAAGTAATTACAGAGAAGTTGTAACTATTCAAAATTTCCAGACGGACTCTGATTGTTTCTCTGAAAACCGCCATCTTTCTTCAAGATGTTTCTGCGATTAATGATAATTCCTATTCACAAATGCGCGAACTACGTTGTTGACAAAACAAGAAGCTTTCTTAATTCAAACAAAATTTGAAAAACCATTTTGAAACACCGCACTTCATTGGCTCAACTTAAATCATTTGAACCGTGTTAATTTCGAGATGAAAAGCAAACAACCTTCAGGGAAAAAATTATATTTTGTTTCGAGCGCGAAAAACTTCTAACCTTACCATGCAAAAGGTTTGACTCCGATGTCTGGGGTTTTGATAAAAATTATGCAAATAGAACTCAAATAAATTGAAAAAGAAAACATAAAAATCTAGTGATTGGAAACACGGGGAGAAAAAACCATAATGAATAATTATTCCAATTTTACCACGGGAAAAAAAATTACGGGCTACAACTTAAAGCGAACACAAGACATCTTGTTGGCTATCTTTTCATCAAATTTTGAGTTTAGCACTGGACAGTTGTACCTCATCTTTTGAGATATTAAATGTTGCAAATTCTTAAGAAAGAAATATCTTCTGAGAGATTAATTGTCAAGATCTTCCCAGCGAGGATTCGTATAATGAAATAGAGGCAGACACAATGAAAAACATTTTATGATGCTATGAATAATTACCAAGCTGTCTAACTGGAGCCATGTGATATTTTTGAGTGAAATTTTGGTGGCCTTTAAATTTCAGAAGTTTAGAGGGAAAACGTTATTTTACTAAAACATGAAAAAGTTGACCCATCGAGTGATGGCCTCATTTTCAAACCGAGATTTTTAATTCCGTCTGGGTTTTCTTACAGCCTCGTTTCCAATGCACGTTCCTGTCACGATCTCGTTTTCAAAGCGAGGTTTGACACAGGAACACCTGTTTTCCAACCTAATGAAGCTCTAGCACCGGTGGAGGGAACAAATAAAAACGCACTAATGTTGGCGTATTTTGATGTGACTTCATTGTTAAAACTGTAATCTATTTGAGAGCTGTATTGTTTTTGGCCCAGAGTGATCACACCACGCAGCATCTGATGAAAAAACCGACAGATGAATTCTAATTAATAAAAACACCGCCAGTTTTGACTCCTCGAAGATTTTTCAAAAATTATCCTGAGTTCTTTCCACTGCTTTATATCATGAGAACTTAAAATCTTCTCAAACCATTTCGTTTCATTTTATGAAAATAAAAGATGGGAGTTATTTTGGTCGCAAATACATCAATTAGTAGAGGAGCAGGTGTAGTAAAAACCATTGGTCGCAGGAAATCGAATAATTTCTTCCCCGGCAAAACTTTAAGAGAAGAATGGGAAACAAAATTACAATTCTGCGAGGAGCTGCCTCGTTAAATTTGGAAAATTTCCCTCGGTAATTTCGCGGGTTTTTTGTCAATTCTACCAATACTTATTTCGATTTAATTTTTCGCTCGATAATGAACGAACTGGACGTAACTTCCTAACGCCTTTCATTTTTCACACAGAGAAGTTAAAGCACATCGGGAGATAAATAATTATGAACTGACAAAAAATTGCCGAGAAGTTTACCGTTTGAAATTACAAAGCAACCGACTTCTGTTATTACAGTAAACATTTCCTCTTCACGATTCGTGTGGAGGAAATACCTCTTGTTACGCTGAAGATTTAAGCCGTAATCTTATCGAGCTAAAAACCGTAATTGTCGATCTCTCTATTAGGAACTCTTTGGATGATAAAAAGTGTTTCAATTTGTGCCATCGAAATTTTGATTCACTTCATGTTTTTGCGTTTTAAAACGCTTAAGTCTTACAGTCAATGTTTTAATGCCTGACATGAATTCCAGCAATCTCGTTGTACATAGATATATACACTAAAAAATCCAAACAAATATCGTCTGTTACCAACGAACAACGAAAATAGAATTATTTATCAATTCCGTCGTGCAGGAATTAAGCGAATTTTCAAGCCAAAATTCCAAACATCGGAAGAAGTGGTCTGTAGGATGACGAATCCGTGATCTCGACTCGAACGGTTTCAGTACGATAAACACAAATATTTCTTGTGTATAAACGGTTATATAGCATGATTCAAGATGAAAAATATACCTTTAAATCGGTGGTGAATAATTTTTCCCATAAACCCTAAAGCTCTCGTACAGCAAGGAAAAATTCCGCTGGTTTTAGCGCCAAATTCAGGTTTCTTCTCGCATTGCAAAGGAGCACCAATACTTTTTCCTCTTTGATCCACGGCCAAAGACCAAATGTCTGTTTAGACCGCGATAACTCCGGTTACATCAATTTGAATAACAATCAAACTCATTTGAATTCATCCTTAAAGTAGGATTTCCCTGAGAGGCAATTTCTGTATGAGTCACCTAAATTATGAAAAGGTTTTCGGACGCACACAACAAAACACATAAGTAATAATGAATGTGAGGCACCTCTATCAGAATTTTTGTTTTCGACTGATTTATTTTGTTTTATTTTTTGAATGTGATAGAGCTTCGCGCTTGGAGCTGACTAAATGTATGACTTTTTTCCCCATAAACTAAAAATTTCTTGAGTGACAGCTAAGCAACTGAGCCTCAAACTAGTTTGCTATTTTTCTGGTAAGCGGTTTTTTTTCAATAATATTCAGTTGTGGTAGGTAAACATCAACAACGTGTCCTGCGGAAAGAGGTCAGTGTTGCGTGAATTGCCTAATGACCTTTGTGCGTTCGCTTTTGGCGCATAATTGTGTCCAAAGACAACTGCCGTTCACAGGAAATTCATCAGGTATATCTAACAGAGATATCTTTTCTAGTTTAAAAGCGCCAAGAAGGATTTGCTGCCCACGTAGCCAGGAAATATCTTCTTTCATTAATTTTTTCCTTTATTCTTTGCGTCGCTTCATAAACAAGAGTTTATACCTAAAAATAGATATTCCTGAGTAAAAAAAAATCAAGGAAGTTTTCGTCAAATGAGAGAATTCCGTGAGCACCTTGTTCCTCAATCTAAAACTTTATCGCATTCTGGTTTTGCAGGCTCTGGAAATTTCCTTTTAGAGGGGGCGAGCAGACAGGAAAAAATGCTCTGAGACAAACAGCAGAAATTTAAAAGAATAAAACTGACTGTGTAAAGGGAGATTTTTAACGGCTTTAAAATGAATTTTCTTGCTTCTGTAATGTAAATTTTTGTCACGGGTTGTTACTGTAAACAATCGTGGGCGAGCGGTTGAAAACCGTGCATTATCTATCTTTTTTGGCAGAAATTTCAGCAAAACAACACTTACGTTAATATTTTCAAAATTCCTGAGAAATGGTCAGGAAATTTCTTGACAGTTTTGAGTCCATTTCAAAAGCCTCAGACAATCTGTTTTGACTGTCTTGTCACTTTGCTGTTTTATGAATTACCGCACTCGCGATGAAGCTTTTTAAATTTATTTGCAGAGAGGATTATTGTAAAAGGAACATCTCGAGTTAAGATCTGTGGCCGACCACAAGGGCCAACTTTAATACCACAGAGCCTTTACTAACTCCCCCCTGGGGGGAAGGGGAAGGAGGCGACCCTCTCCCTTCCCCCGTAGCAGAAAGTATGGTGTTAACTTGAGGGCTAAACTCTCAAACAAGGTATACAATTTAATGTCTATCCTATTGAACAGTGTCTTTGTGGACTAGAAGCCACGGAAAAGGTGAAAGTGAGTTCTCTACTCGAGTAATACTACCAACTGTTTATAGAACGCTTTTGGACAGAGTGTCAAAGTGATCGCAAAAGCCAATCCGAAGAAAGAAAATTAACTTTAAGAGCCAATGAGAACTTAGAGTAAAACCAAATTGTGGTTTTAATTTTGCATCTGATTGGTCGAGAGAGTGGTGAATGTGGTGCGTGAGGTGCAATGGTGAAAAGTGTAAGAGATTCTTTGAAAAAATCGTGACAATTTTTTCCGATAAGGAGGCTAGAGTCCAAACTCCGTCATTAAAGATGTAATAAATGTATCAAATTTAAAAAAAAGCATCATTTGGCTGTAAATAAAGCCTCCTAAAAGTCTCAACTCAGTAAGACACAAGCTACAATTTGAAATAAAAAAGGCTAAAAAAAGACTAAACTCAACTCTGAAAACGAGTGTTTACGAATGCATCCGCGTTAACCTCGATTTCAGGTTAAACTGAGGTCTATGGTGAACATTATTAGCTGATTAACAGGATCACTCACATGAATAAAAAAAACATAACCAGTGGGGAGGGAAAGAAAAAAAATGCAGTTGGAAATATATTCACAAAAATTTTTTTAGAAAAAAACAATCAGCGTTTTCTCTCCCATCCATAAACGTCCCTGCACAAGCCACAATCAAAAAACTAGGTTGAAAACGTCAACTCACCTTTTTCTTTGTTGCATCATCTTTACAGGGTTGAATGTTCAGGTCCGCCCCACTCTTGGACATTAATGGCTCCTTTGTACTCTAAGACAAGAGAATATTAAAAAAATTTTGGATCCAATCATGATGACGAGCAGACTCATCGGATCAGATGTAGACGGTTTCTTAGTCTTCTTATAAATTTCCCAGCCGTTTTTCAAAAGTCACTTGGTAACATTTCCTGTCACTCAGTGACGCACGACGCATCAAGAAAGCGTGAAACCATGACAACGGCTTTGAATAAGACTACTGTGGTACAGGGCGGGTTTACACATACATGGCACAAAATTATATTCTTCATTCAGACAATATTTTGTTAATTTTTTTAAAAATTTTTTACTTCTTATTTTCAAAGTAGCCCTTACTTTTTGATCATTACTGTGAGATTGTAGAGCGTCCTTTAGTTTCACCAGAGACGACAAAAATTCACTTTTACCGGACGAAGCAGCCTGTTTCTTAAGAAACAAAAAACAAACAAATAAACGTTATAAACACATTATGATTGTCCTGATCAAAAATACGCAGAGGTTAAGGAGAGGTTGTGTACAAGATAAAACGTTCAAGTCTGTTCTGGAGCCTTTGGCTCACATTGCAGGAGTTTAACCTGGTTTCCGTGGCAATATTAGACTGGGAGTATTGCCCCTCCCCCCGGATGGGATGCAAGTTCATCAAAAAGGCCGTAAGGTTTGACGCGGGTTGGTCTGGATAAGGGCCTTCCGGCCTTGCACTCACACGGCTCTTTTGCATTTTTCGAGTACGTAAATTATAATTGTGGACTTCAGCTTTAAATAAAACAAATGAGTGAATGGGTCGTGATCTCGATTAATTACAAGGTTCTTGTTTTGACTTGAAGAAAAAAGGAAAAAAATTCGCTGTTGAATCTTTTTAATAGTGGTTCAGTGCAGTAATTAGTAATGACGCACGGTCATGACGCACGGAAGTCGTGACGCATGGAAGTCGTGACGTACGGAAGTCATGACCTCGAGCCTATTATATTCACGTCCGAACCTCCCACTCAGTCAATAAGTACGGGTGCAGCTGTGCGAATGTCTTACCTGTGACGTCAATGAGCGTTTCTCCACTTTTTTAAGCGGTTGTTCCAATCTGAGTTGCTTTGGTGCGAGGGGAAGTTTATTTTTACTCCGAACACCTCCTATGCCCTCGCCGTGATTTTCATCTCGTTGTGTATCATGTCTCGTGTCAGATTTTTCCTTGTTACGCGATTCATGAGGTGCACGCCTATCCACGGGGTTTGACATATCCCTGCGGTTCGCCTTTTCTCCAAGGTATGACTTATCCATGGGACGAGGCTCATCCTTGAGGTGTTTCCTTATAGGCCCTTCATATTCATGCTTCGACTTATGTTTAGGGAATACTTCATCTCTGTGATTCAGCTTACCCATGGGGTATTCTTCTGAGGGCCTGCCCCTGGGGTATTCCACCAGAGGCCTGGAGTATTCCTCCCTTGGCTTTGTACCATCTGTTTCTCTCCTCCGGTCGGTAAGTGTGTTCCTGCGATTCCTTTCGAGAACTTCACGGCCCCTGGCCTCTCCCAAATGTTGTGAATGTTCCCTGGTTTTTCTATAGCCATCATACTCCTTTTTAACGGGTTTAGATTTCGAATCATTGGAATGCAAATCTTTTTCAATCTGTCAAACATAAAACCGCAATATTTATGACTCCAAATTTACTCCAGCCCAGAGAAAAGGCGTAATTATTTTGCATTTTCGGGCGAGAAGGGGTGGGCGTAAGGTGCGTGTTAAAAGCTACTAACTACTCTCATCTCGCGCGTTCTCTCACGTCACGCTGGGCCAAATACGCGAAAAAAAAATTGCGCATGTTCGGCAGCCTAGCAAAGCACACAGAGATATATGATACAAGTTAACTACATAACTCTACAGTACTTATTTTGACCAAATAACCTTTCATCTGATAGAGGATCATTAAATATAATTGCTTTAAAAGGTAATGAAAGTTGTGAAAGATGGCACAGCGTGCGTTATCAATGGCAGAGCAAATGATACGTTGTTTTGGCGGGAAAACGCGCCAGCCTAAAAATGTGCCTGTCTGTTTTAAACTCGAGTGGGGCTTGTCAGCTTTTAATCGCAATTCAAAGTAAGAGCGACATGAAAGTAAATTTCTTTAAAATGAAGATTTTTACCCCTACCATCCAAAAGGTTTAGCGAGCAATTGAACCGAGTAACTGAAACAGCAGGTGATACATAACAGGTGGCAAATAAGGACAAAAAAACTTGTAAAGTGAAGAAATGACTGATCGCTGTTATTCGCAATTCTGGCTTATTTGGCGCAGCATAAATAACAACGTATTGTTGTCTTAGTGAAAATGAAGATTCTAGGTCTAAAGTAGGATGAAAACTGTCTTAATGAAAAATTAAGATTAATTGAGCCACATCCTTTTCCGGCGCAAAATTCGTATGCAGGACTTTAGATACATTATACGAGAGTGAAGAGAAAGGAAGGAAACATGCTTACCTGTACTTCGTCTCGGGACGAAACTTTTCCACCATGATTGCGCCGTGTTCTGACCGACTCTGTTTGGTTCAGAGTATTCATATTTTCATCTCCTCCCTCACTCGGTAAGTTATGAATTCTCTGCCTTATTTTCAATCGAAGTTTATCACGCATCGAGTCCTCCGAGCGACTGATTCCCCTCTTACTCCTCTCGTCGGAGATTTTCGACATGATTGAAACTTATTTCTCAAGCTTCCCTCGATTTCACCTTTCAAAAGCCATTTTGTAGACAAAATAGTCCACGCTTGAGTATACTAAGGTTGGGTCAAAAGAAAACAGGTCCTAAAAACTCGAGTGACGCCACAACGGAAGTCGCGGTAAGAGGGGCGGGGAGGGTAAAATTGATTGACGCCCGTTTTCGCGTTCAACATACCTACAAAATTTTCTTTACGTGTAACGAGGATAGAGAAATTTTTCACGTTAATAAGAGTTTCTCGATCTTAATGCACTATCAGTTCGTTAGACATACAGCCGAAACGTCTGTCTTCTAAGTTTGCTTGGGTCCGAAGCTCTAATGGCACGATTTAATTTAGTTGCAATAATCGTTCGTTTCCCATAATGTGATTGTTCACACACTCTTGTGACAGTAGTGATGCTAGAAACACAGAACAAGGCTTCAATTAAGCTTCATTTCAAAGTTTTTACCTTTTAATGCTTCAGACATATTCGACTACCTAATGAGAGTCATACGCCGCTTTACATTGCTGAGAATCAATTTGGAGTAGATTCCTACACATCAATAAACGGCGTAACCCTTTAACTCCCAAGATCTCTTTAGAAATTCTCCTTACTGTCTGCCATACGATTCATATGATGCTAGTTGAGTGAATTTAGTACTGGATCAACTACCAATCCTCTAGTTAATAATTCTGTTAATTCTCATCACTTGCCTGCTTGATATCGTATTGATATTGTAAGGAGAAATTCTGTCTTAATCACGAATAGCAGTCAAAAAGTTAAGGGGCATCAATTGATGCTGCATGCCTAAGACAACGAAAATATCAGCTATTTCGATGTTCAATAGGATACAAGACATTTTCATACTTAACGTTCAATAATTTGCCTTACTCTTACTTTTAACTATATCCCCAACTGCTCCTTAACCCTTTAACCCCTAAGAGAGACTGGCATCTAATTTCTCCTTACAATATCACGCCTGAATCAAACATTAAGGTCATGAGAATGAGGGAAATGATCAACAACTTAAGAAGCTCTTGATTGCTAAACGAATTCTCCTTTTCAGAACCTTAAGAAATGTACAGAGAAACTATGGAGAAGATGCATACTGATGTTAGGGTGTAAAGGGTCAAAGGAAGTCGGATTTAAAGAATAAACGAATAAATAATAACCTACAAACGAGCCTTTTCTGGTGTTTAGGAATTTGTGTGGGCAACCAAGCTGATGGTAACGAAACAACTTATGAAGAGCATTCGTTAAGGTAATCACATGATTCCTTGTGTAATTTGGAATAAATAAGCCCTTGTAATTTTTTTGAAACTACAAATTGCACTCACCCTTCAAAATAACCCTAAAAAAAATTCCAAACCCTTTTGCCTCTCCAAAACACCGTAAAAGGCAGAGTGATTTTCGATTGAGTGTCGTAAAACTAAAACCAAAGTAATCACAACAGAAGAAAGAAAACTAACAGAAGAAGAAAGAGAAATATCCTTCAGAGCCAAAGAGAACTCAAAGTAAAAACAAAGCGTTTGAATCCTATTGGTTGAGAGGATGGCGTGAGTTTTCTGGGCCAATCACAGAGCGAAGTAAAGCAAAACCAATACAATCCCAGATAACTTGCGACACTCAACTGAAAATTGTTCGAAGCATATACCATGAATACCAACCCGCTTTCTTATAAGTTAATCATTAGATAAGTATCTATTTTATCTCCCTCTCGCTAATCACCGTCCTTTCGTTTCGAATTTCTCGAGAAGAGTATTGATGCGAGCTTCAACTCGTTCACAGTTCGCCTCAATGGTAGCTACGTTGGAGTTGAAACTGGCTTCCAGCTTGAAAAGAAAAGGGGAAAATGTATTAAAGGAGAAATAAACTCCAGAAATCGTCTAATCGTCATGTCCGCTATTAAAAAGATGTATGAATATTATGACAAAGGAACCTTCAGATTCGCAAAGATTAAAAAAGGACGGCGCCACTTTTAATCTTGCTTAACAGCCTTGCCTCATACTTGTGACATACCAAACTCTCTCTTCCCTTCTTTACATCTCTTGGCGATCGGTTTGAACAAGTGAGAGTTATAAAAAAAGGTTTTCTTGACTCAAAGCATATTTTTTTTCCCGATAACTGGAGAAGCAGTTGTTAGTGAACCTCGCATTGTGATTGCCACCATTTGGGTGCGCGAGGCCAGGTTACCGAGTTCTTTTTAAAAATGGCGGCGTCCATAGCCGTAATTTCAAAACACTGTAGAAGAGATAGACAAAACAACTAGAAATAACAGACACTTACCTCACTAAGGAGTTTTGCCTGGCCGCGCATTTGACTGTTCAGAGCAGACTGGGACGAATCCAGCTCCAACAACGATTGACCAAACTGGCTTGCTGTGAAGCAAAGAGCAGAGAAGTTGAATTGATGAGGAATGTTGAAACTTGTGTAAAGTGATGTTTTTATCGCATATAGGTACCTTCAAAAGGGTGATAAAACGGCTCTAAACTTGTAACTCTTCTAAATAACAAGTTAGCCATGATTTTAGCATTTAAAACTGCTATGTTTTTGCAAAAAAATGGGTTAAGGGCCTTTTGTTGAGGGGGGAAGGGAGAGGGAGAGGGAAAATGGTGCAACTTTCAGGGGGGTGTAAGTGCAAACAAGCTACTCATATATGGTTTGTTTTTCTTCTTGTTCTTGTTCGTACCTTGTTCATGCAGAGCTTTCAAGGATTGTAGTCTTGTTATCTATAAGTTTAAGAAAGCAAAACATGAAAAATGAGTGACAAATGAAAACGTAGTCAGGTTAAGATGAAGAACAGTGCCGTGCTGGGTAAATTGCAGTTTTGACTCCCTACAACTTCCGTTGAAATGTTGACCACGCGAGAAAGCCTGGTTACCTAAATAGCGGCACCTACCAGATCCGGGACAACGTCTACGAACGAATCCCACTTGTTCAAAAGATCATAAAGTTCGGTCACCTAAGAAACAGTAAACCAGAAGTGAGAATATAGTTTGAATTAAGTTAGATGCTAATCATTCTTTGGGGTCAAAGGGTAAAAATAATTTTCTTTCACCTTGCTCTGCTTAGCTGAATTTTCAACTTCCTGCTTTTTCTCTGAAAGAGCATTGACATGATGCAATATTCCCTGTGAAGAAAAGAAAGGAAAGCTAAAGAAATTCCAAGAAAAATACAACTACCTTCAATAGAATAGAGCAGAAGGAAAGCTAAGATGATAAAGATCACGTTCAATTTGAAAAGTTTGTAAACTTATCGAAGTCTCTGGCCAAAATCAACTTTAAATTTTGAGCACACTAAGAACAAAGAGATTTTCCTTGAGACGAAATGTGAAAGGTCATAGATTGAGTCATGCGTGGGACATCATGTGGTGCCTGGTGCCTGGTGCCTGGTGCCTGGTAACTGGCGACTACTGCCCTGGACTTCGCATCGATCAACCCGGCTTAGGCCTCTTCTCAAGACATTGCATTGTTTTTTTAGGCAAAGAAGCTTGCTCTCACAGTGTCTTTCCACCCAAGAGTAGAAAGAGGCACCAGAAACTGTCAGAGAACTCAAAAAACTGCTGGGGAAGGAAGGGGAGGGGACTGCAACGGATCAGCATGGGGGGGGGGGGGAAGGTGCCAGTGAGGTCAAAGAAGATCAAGTCAAAATCTTCTCACCTGTAATCGTGCATCAACGTGATCAATGTGATTTGCATCCAACAAAGCAACTTTAGCCTCAAGAGCTGATGCCACAGACTGTTAACAGAAACACTTTATTACTAAGAACCAATCAATGAAGCAAGAAATTAATCAATCAACCATTCAATCAATCAATCAAGCCCTCAATCCCCCAGTCAATTAATGAATCCATCAATCAATCAATCAATCAATTACTCAATCCCCCAATCAATCAATTAAACCAACAATCAATCAACTAGTCTTCAATCAATCATACAGTCAACCTGTCAATCATTCATCAATTACTCAATCAAGCAATTAATCAACCAATCAACAACTTGGGCAATCGATCAATTAATCAATCACTCAGTCTGTCCGCCATAGAGGGGATAAGTTTCTAAAGAAACTGTTGTGCTACATTGGAGGGAGGTGTCATGCCCCAATGAATCCAAAGCTTCAACATCAACTTGGGCAACTCACAGGCATTTGACTGTTGTCCATTCCCAGGGGGGGAATTTGAACCTTGCCTGGGTGGGGTGGGAAACATGAAGCAGAAGTGTCACCTCTTTTTAGCAGAATAAACGGGCAATAAAAGTAACTACACCAATTTGAGTCAATAATTACTAATCATAAAGCATACCATTCATTTCCATATTCAATCCAACACTTTTGAAACTGAAAAGGTTTGGTAACTTAAAGGGTTTTGCCATACATGATGCTCACCATTTTCAACATTGGATGGGAAAATTTTTTATCAAACTCACCAACAAATTTTTATCCTTAATTTCAAGATCAGCAGTAATGGAGGACTGCAAAGTAACAACAGATTTATAACATAGGTGAGGATTCAATCAAGACAAAAATTACAAATTAAAAATAAAAATTATATCAATGTACACATATTTTGTAATAGATTGGTTAACTCACTTCCCCTTGTTTTCATACATTCACTTCTGCACATTTAAGTGTGCAATAATTCTTTCACAACATTAAGCATTCATTTTGATAGAATAACTCAGTGCCTAGGCTAGCACTAAATATCTGTTGATCAGGTCAATTGTAACAATGAAAGTTGACATGAGCAGGGTATTAAAGATTGTTGTTGTTCTTTATAATTATCAAAAGTTAACTCCCAGAAGTGGTTAAGATGTAACTTCTCCCTAATATATCCATAC